TCCCAGGGAGGAAAACGGGCACTGGAGTCGCTCCCCAGAGAAGCTCGGGGCTGGGGTGAGCAGAGCCACCAGCTCCCCAGCTCCTGGGGAAAGATGCAGCCCCCCAAGCAGGCAGCTGCTGTGTCGTGGCACAGCCACATCTCACCACGGGGAGCCCCTTCCTCCCTCCCTCCCTTGCAGGTGAAGGAAATGGATGCTGAAAGTTTCTTAACTGGCACTTAAGAAAAGGTCACATCAAAACTGAAAGATCAATTTATTCCTGGCATTGCCATCAGTTATGCATGAAGGTGCAGACTGACACTACCCAGTACTCGTAGTCTGGGACATCTCCTTGTGCTGGAGCAGGCGATTTAAACAGAAAAATGAACTTTTAGTGTCATTTTTTTGCTAGTCTACTCCTGTGAGGAGAGGCATCCCTGCAAAGCTCCTCTGCTCCGCCCGCAGCCCAGCTCCGGCACCCCGAGGGGAGTGTGGTGGCACACGCAAGTTAAATCCATTTGTCAGCATCCCCCAGTGAATTCCTCTGATCTTCCCAGCCCAGCGGCAGCAGCGTGAGGAGCCGGGAGCTGCGGGAGCCCCGAGCTGGCAGCAGCACAGGCAGGGATGGCAGGGGGAGGGCGATTACAGAGCTGGGCTGGGCTCTCCGGGCTGTTTTGATTTAAAATGCAGCTGTACAAATTAAACTCCCCCCAGGGGAGAGGCACTTTGCGCAGCGACTCAGAAACTCCATCAATTAAGAGATTTGGAGTTTTGATGTTACCAGCACCACGTTTATCTGCAGATGAGCCCAAAGCACCAATCTCCCTCTCTCCTCATCTGTTGTCACACCCTTAACCTGGAGCGAGGGGCTCAGGCAGGGACAGATTTACTGAGCCACCCACGAGCCACTTCCCAGCCTGGCACAGGAGGGAAGGTGGCTGATGTGCATCCCTCTGTGCATCCTCCGTGGCTGCATCCAGCCCCAGAATTGCTTCCTGGAGGCAGCACCATGGATTAGTGTCTTAACTGCAGCCTCTTCCCACCCGGACGGCCCTGGAAACAGCATTCCAACAGACAGAAGCCTCCCGGGGATGTTTCCAATCACTTACTGCTATGCGTCAAGGGAGATGGAGAATTCAGCCAGTTAAAAATACAAAAGCTTCTACACGTTAAAAGGGCCACAGTAAAAATGAACTCACCCAGCACAGACACTCCAAAAAATGGTAGAACTTTTATTTTCCTTGGTACAGATATTCTTTACAGCATAAGGTTTTCTTAAAAAACTATATACATACATATATAGCATTGTGCATCTCAGTATATGCTCCTAGAGGCTCTAGAAAAGGGGAAAGAGCAACGTACAGAGAAATCCTCATAGTCCATCCCTAGCCCAAGCTCTTTCCTAGGACAATCCCCTCTCCCCAGGGTCAGAACAAGGTGCTGGCTCCAAGCACTTCTCTGCAACCTCCTCATCGTTTCCTCACTGGCTTCATGTCTCTCCCTCTGTAGCAGGGACAGACTCTGAGTGATTCCCTCCATCACGAGAGACTGATGCTACACGGAAGATCAAGTCAGTCATGGGCACAGTAGTTTCAAGATGTAAAATTGCTTTAAACACAATTTTGCAGGATAAACAGAGCACACATTTTATTAAGAGACGTGATGAGTCAGCGGCACCAGTCCTCGATACCTTATCACAATAACACTTAGGGGGGAAAGAAGAAATCAAATCTAAGTCAGAGTCACTCAGCCATTCCCTAATAAATTCTTACAGCTGACAAAGAGGTTTTTCTTTTTCTCTGTTTATTTTTTTTCCTTTTTCTGCAAGCAGTTTTAAGAGAGTTATAAAGAGCTATCTGGGGAATGAATTAGTGTTTCAAACCCAAGTTACAAATCTATAAAACAGATTAGTATACTTCACATAAGGCCACAAACACTGCAAACTGTCAGTGTGACTATTTAGGATCATTAAACTTAATCTTTTAATTAGCATAAGCTTTATACCTCCATTACTTATTCTCAATTCCTGGAGCAGATGCAGACAGCTTCCCAAGGCTCACAGGAGATGGGGGTGTCGGGGGGAGAGGATCAGGGTCTGGCTGGAAGGGGCACCTCTGGCTAATTGAACACCCAGGTATTGGTCTTGCCTAATCCAATTCCATTTGAGTCTATTGAGTGAGCAACAACCAAATGGGTTTGAGACGGTCAAAAGGCATGCACAGCCAAATCCACTTAGCAGGGCTGAGAACACAGATCCATTGTGCTCTGGGGCTCACCCAACCTGCAACTTTCAACACGTTTTAGCAGAACTAATTGTAACTCCCTGGTGGTTTTGCTCCTAAAGCCAACGGTGCGACGGAGCCTCGGTGCTGCGAGTCGCAGCAGAAACGGTGCAGGAGCAGCCAGTTCTGACACAGACCTGCAGCATTGCCAGGCTGGGGGTGGGTTTTTTTGGGTCAACAGCTTCTGAAGAGAAGTTACAGGCACTGCTTTACCTTGACAATTCGGACCATTGCTTGCAGTTCAAGTTTTAAAGTGCAAAACTTCATAGAGTCTTTGGGTATAAAAGCATCAATTCCCATACGATGCTGGTGAAGGAACAGCCAGAGCCCGTCAGGGTGATTGACAACTGTGAGAGTGTCACAGACATTCACAACAAAAGCAAGATCTCTGTCACCTCAGGGTTTTCACACTGTTAGCAGCTGCTGCAAGTCTCCTCCCTCCGCCCAGGCAGGTGATGTGTTGTTCAAGAAACAGTGGATTAGTAACAGTTGTGCTTGCACTTGCATTTGCATCTGCAGACCTTTGTCTAGAAAAATATAGAGAGACTTTGGTGTTGCATAGCCCTTTTTTCAGAGAGGAACAGGCACTGCTGAAGGTTCTCCCGTGGTATATTGCCACGGAATACAGTAGATGCTCTACACACCTTCCAATCCTGTATGTAAACTGTAATGGCTATGAATAAATATGTTCAAGAGCATCTCGTGGTTTAGATAAAAGCAAGGTATAAAAATCTGCATTAGATTTCTAAAGCTTTGGTCTAAACTGTGCTGTAACATCAGCTGACTTGGTGAGAAGGCCTCGGAAGAGTCCCTTGCGTACAGCACCCGGAACAAAGTGATTCAGTCCATGGGCTTTTAGTGGTTCTTCTCGTTGGCTCTCAGGTGCATCTGGCCTCAGAACATGAACAGATCATCCCTCTCGCCTGAGCTGGGATCTATTTTGTTCCAGTCGACAGGTGAGAGCGTTTCTGCACTCTGGATGTCTTGAGCTGTCAGTCCTGTGTCGAGGACGTGAGGGTTTGTTCTCGACTGAGCCAGTCTAGGGAGAAACACAAAGTGAGGACACAAATCCAGGTGGTTTCACAGCCTGGGTGCCTGGTGCATCCGTAATGCCCAGCCCGAGCTGCAGTTCCACACTTCAAACTCCTCCAAAAGAATGAAATAATTCAGCAAGGGGCGAGCTGGCACGTAACATTTACAGCTCTCTCCAGCTTGTTGCAGCTTTATCCTAACGGGCATCAGGGAGTTTGCAGTCTGGACATCCCTTATATTAATGGTCTGGCAGAACGGGGCCATTTTCCTCCCCTGAGCTATTGCTGGTGGTGCATCCTTATCTCTGGGTTCTGATCTCTGCTGACCAAAGGAGCAGCCCCGTGGCACTGACTCAGTTTTCATGGTGTGCCTGGGCACGCAGCAGCGGGTGCTGTAGCTCGCTGCCCACCACACTCCCCAGCCCAAGCACTTCACTCTGTGGCTAAAGACCCAGCAGGACTCAGAGGATGTTTAACAGCCCCCAGGATCAGCTTTACGAGGTCTTCATCTCAGCACATCCCAGATGTTTCTCAAAACCTAACAAGCCCCGGTTGGTGGTTGTGTCATGAAATACCTCTGTGGCAGTGTCACGCTGCAGCAGCACTTCTCCCAGGGGCAACGGTGAACTCAAAGGTTTGGGGTTTCATCCAGGGCAGGCTGGGTGTCAGACAAGCCTCTGACTAAACCACAGGCAGGGTTTTTAATAAGGAAGAGAAGTGGGCAGTGATGATGTTTGGGGCAGGGACACTTTGGGAGCACCCGCCTGGGTGGACGAGCACTCCAAACACTGAGTCACCAGCGGGCCAGGGGTGACGTGACAGCCAGCAGCCAGCAATGCAAAACAAAACCCCTCAGCCAACAACATCTGCTTCACTAAGCAGGGCAAGGAACAGAGGTGGGGAAAACGGATGACACCAAGACATAAATTCAAGCAGCCCCTTTGTCCAAGGTGACTGGACCAGGGCTGCCATGGAAGTGGAAGCTGTAAATCGTTCCCCAGAGCTGACCAAGACTCAGGGGCTGCTTCCCTAGGGCTGAGTGTGCAGATCTGGCAGTGCTGCAAACCCGGGTGGAGGTGGCAGCATTGGGCTCAGCCCTGCTACTGCCTGACTCCCACTTTCAGCACCTCCTATGCAGAAGAGGAGGAGGAGGAGGAGGAAGAGGAGGACTGGCAGCTCTCTGCTGCCAGTAGCATCTCACCCAAAGCATCTCTTTGCCCAGACCGGGGCCTCTGCAGCTCGTGCTGCCCAAATGGTGGCTGGGTGGCTTTGTGCCCTGATCTAGAGGACAGGACCCACATAAACTAACACATCTCCATGGCCCTGCAGTGACCTGCCTGCACAAGGACAGACAGGAACACTCACCTGAAAGAAAATGGGTTTGTGTAACACTGCTGGATGGCTTGGCATGGACAGGCAGGGAAGCTCTTAGTTCCAGCCCAAATTAAGCCACACGAAGCTGCAGCCACAAGCTCTGAATGTGCTCAGCTGCATGAATTCAAAACTGTTGCATCAGTTGCCCCAATGCCACCAGGCTGCTCCAAGGATGGGTGGAGCAGGGACGCTGCCCTCAGCAGTGGCTGTTCATTTGGGGACAGATGAGAACCAAGTCCCAGGGTCAGCCCAAACCTCGTGGAGGGGTGAGGAAGGGTGAAGTCCCCTGCACTAGAAGCTGGGACCAGCATCCCTGCAGATAGCACAGGGGCTGGGAACAGGCAGCCTCCAACCACCCGGGCAAGCTGGAGCAGCCACACCAACTGCCTGGGGAATTCAATTCCCTATCACATACAGCCTCTCTCCATCCTTAAAAGGTTGTCAAAATATTTGGCTTATCAGCCAGCCTCAAAGCCTATCTTTCAATTAACAGCTGAGGCGCTGATGGGGCAGCTGCCTAGGTCAGATCACGGTGGTTGATTAGATTAGAAGCATTATTAAAAGCCAGTCACTAGTCAAGTCTCCTGGGCTGGTCCCCAGTGGTGTGAACTTGTAAAGGGAGTTATTAGAATTACCTTGAAAATGCCTCGTCGAGACCATCATCCATTTCCTTTGTTAAAGAGATAAAAAGAGAGAGAAGTAGTTGCTAAGAGAACACACAAAAGTGTATTTAGAGATCCGGCTCCACGCAGCAGACAAAAAATATATAGCTACTGATTTCCAAGTGCCTAAAGCAACACTCCTCTCAGCAATCTGCCTCCTCGGGCAGGTTTGATCTCACTCTCTGCACAAGCCCTGGGGTAAGAGGCATAACTCTGGGGGGTCCAGACTTCCTCGGAGCAGATCCCAGGCCTCGGGTCTGGATGCTGCAAAACCCTCGCAGCCCAGGATGGGGCAGGGACTTGGCTCTTTCCCACCACCTCCAAACCAGGTTAATTCTGCATGGGCTGGATCTGGCCCACATCTAACCCTGCTCTGGGGTTAACCACAGCCCTTGGCTCTTCCAGCTCTTGCATGTGTCTGGCACATGCTGTGGGTTTCTAAGAGGAGGGACCTGGATAGAGCTCAGCAAGATGCTCCAGGCATCCCTGTGGGCTTTTCTGGATGAGGAACTGGGAAAGCAACCCTGCACCAGCACAGGGGGCACCTGAGCTGCTTGAAAGCTGCTCTGGGATCCTTTATCTTTGATCTGCTCTTACAGTTTCCCAGGGAAAGCACTGAGTTGCCTGGGGGAGGAAGGCTTCCCATGCAGGAAGATGGGCTCTGTGCAAGGGCTTTGCTATGGACAGACTTGACTATTCCCAAATTGTTTGATGCACTTACAGACTTAATGTAACATGTAAAGTAGGAGAACTCTGCAGGAAGAGAGGGATAAGCCTCTAGGATTTGGTATGACTTAGAGCTGATCTTCAGGTTTACCCTGGAAAGCCTCATGCTCAGACCCAGCAGACTCAAGGAACAGGCTCCAGGCAAAGGCTTTTATCATTCAATTCTCCCAAATTCAGCATGTTTCCAGAGAGGGCATGTGGCAGGGACAAGCTCCCAGGTCAAATAGGGCTTCAAAGATCAGCCTCAGCCCAGCTGGTGATGGAGCACTTCACCATGGAGGAGGCTCCTCATGGATGCACACCTTGGCACAGGGGCTGGGTTGTTACTTTTCTATTAGTGGTCCATAAAACAATTAAGCCAGATGACTGAGGACGTTTTAGAGAAGTCATCTGTGCCAGATATAGCTACAAACAAGAGCAAGGGAAAAAACAAGTGTAATAACCAACATAAATATCCCCTGGTTTTAGTGACTGGTAAACAAAAGCCATCACCATAATGACTTTTCCCCTGAACAGAGCAGTTAGGTGGTCTCTCAATGAAGTGACAAACCACTGAGAAATGCTGCTCCAGAATAAGTAACACTCCACTCCCTGGCAGTGGTGTTTCTCAGAGTGCCTCCCAATCCTGCTCATTTATTTACAAAGCCTAGAAAGGGCAGCAGGTACTCCAACACTAATCGATCATTTTGAGTAGGGCATCAAAACCCAGCTAGCTCAGCATCTCCAAACCCCTGCCTGAACAGCTCAGCTGCCCCACAGCTCCTGGGGCTGCTTACCCAAGGAAAAAGCCCCATGGTGGGATGTGCAGCACATGAAATGGAGGTAGCACCACACTCCCTGCTCTCAGCGGGTGCCACGGTGCCCTGGGCACACACTTACCCACACCACATTGTTGTTTACAGAGGAGCTGGGCCCAAACGTGCTGTTATCTAAGTGTGGGGAGTCTGCACTGCTGCTCAGGGGTGATTTAGCAGAATCTTCAAAATCCAGTAAGTTCCCCGTGGCTGTGGCTGCGAAAAGAGCAGAAAGGGAATGAGGCAGGGAGGAGAGAACAGAGGTGAAATGAAACCGAGACTTGCTGCAGTAATTGCTTCCCCTCAAGAGGGGAATCAAAGGCTTGCACCGAATTCCTTCAGGATGGCCCCAAATTTTAGCATGGAGGAGCTGCACTCACCCCAGCAGGGGCTGTGGCTTCAGCCCAATGCTCAGAGCAGGCACCTGAGACCCTCTCCTGAGGGACGTGGGGCAGCACTGGCCAGGCCATCCCTCCAGCACCCAGCTTAGCTTTAGGAGTCAGGATCAGCCCCAGGCACAGCTGACACGTCCCACTCCAGGACATCTCAACCCCAGGGCTTTGTGGCCCAGGGTGGGAACAGACCCTGGGTGCTATCCCCAGCTCAGCACCTTACAAAGGTGCAGCCCTGATCTGTAGGACCCAGGGCAACCCCCTGGTGAGGAGCAGTGCACTGCTGGGGGCTGCTGGCACACTGCAGGCTGGGCTCTCCCAGGGAAAGCCTTGGATCCTCCCCTTCACTCCGTGGCACGGGTGGGTGCAGGAGGCAGCCCTGCTGCAGAGCATCCCCCAGGCAGACACCAGAGCCCCCTCCCACAGCCCAGGCCTCACTTATCCCCAGGTGCCACCGGTGGTGACAAGTTCCTCCAGTCCTGGCCCTTCACACGAAGAAATGAGATGTGCCAGCCTGGAAGGAAGCCCAGTTTAATGCTCTTTTCCTCTGTGCCAAATCCTCTTATCTCCACAGCCAGCACGGGAGGGAGATTAGCCTTTTTGTCCCACTTCTCCCTGGCTACACATCTCGTGTTTCTGAGGCAGCAGAGGACCCATGGCCAGGCTCTGAATTACAAGGGGGTTACTACTTAATTATTTCCATGCACCTCTCCCTCCTTAGGGAAGCTGGAGGCAGTGGCACCTGGATACCCATCTCCTTCAGCCGACGGGATGGCAAGTGCTTCAGGTCCAAGACAAACCCAAAATCAAACCTGGGACATGAGAGTCCACACTAAGCTCAGCAGGATTTTATGGCCAATTTGCCCAGGGCAGAAGTGAACAGAGTTGGGGTGGCAGCAGCTGTGTACAAGGGGCTGCATGAGATACTTAAGAGATGAAAGTCTACCAGAGATGGAAGGACTCAGCTGATGGCCACCACTTCCCAAGTGCTCTGCCCAGCTATGACAAAAGCATTTGCACCTCACTGGAGCTGGCCCTCTTCAGGGGTGACCCCACAGACCTTGGGCTGTTCCCCACCCCTGAAGCAGAGCTCTGCTCTTGGTGACTTACGTGTGCTGGGGTGGGCAGGGGCTTCTGAGCTGGGGCTGCTTGTCCCTTCTCCTTCCAACATGGACCTTTCCCGTTTCTCCTTCTCTGCAAAAGAAGGAGACCCTGTAACTCTCTGCAGAGTGCTTCCCCACAAGCTTTTAGGGAGGAGGGATGGGAGGACAGCTAGGATAAGCCACCAGGTCTCCTCTGCCCACTGCAGCCAGGCTCTGGGTGCATTTTATCATCTCGTAGAAGGTGAATGCAAATATCCCAGCAGCAGCAGGGCTCTGAGGTACCACAGACAAGCACTGAGTCCTTCACACCCTGCCTGCAAGAAAGGAATGCAGCCAAAATCTGGCTGGATTTACAAAGCTGTCAAGAGAAATCTGGAAGATGCCTTAAATCACATCAGAGGTTGGAGCAGCCTTAACAGCAGCCTGGAAATTTGGAGGGCAAGGGGAAAAGGCACTTGAAAGCTGGAAAAAACACAAAGTCATCATCCCTTGAACTTTCAGGTGAAGAGTGGGAAGGGGTTGGGGGGGAACCTCACCTTCCTTAGCTGCTTGCCAGAACTCAAAAGCAATTTTGAAGGCCTGGGCCACGGTGAGGGTGACTGCTTGTGCCTGGAAAGACAGCGGTGAGGCAGCACATTAACCAACAGGTCCTCGTGTAGATCTGAATCATCTGGAGGTTTTGCTCTGCAGGTCCATGGATCCAACCAGTGCCCTGCTCCACACGCTCCCTGCCTGGCAGGGGAGGGCTAAGCAAATACTGGTGGGAGCAGAGACTCTGTGTGGGGGGCACAGCTCATTGTAGACACGGCTTTAGGTGTGATGGGAAGATGGAGAAGGCAGGGGAATGGCTGTCACAGGCACTGTGCTGAGGGGTGGGGAGGGAAGAGCTGCTCCTGACCACAGGGCACACGCAGCTCTTCCTGCACCCCACACCTAAGTGTGATCTAAACAAGTGCTGCACAGCCCCGGGCTCATCCTTGCAGCTCCTTGAGGGATGTGGCTCCTTGCTTCAGGGCTGGGCTGTGCTGCACCCACCACAGAGCATCACCCAGCAGAACAAGCAACATCTCAAGGGGAACTGGTGCCCAGGCTGAGCCCTGGCCCACGCAGAGCTGCTGTCCTCCCCTCCCTGGCCACACGCACAAGGATCCTCTGAGGGCAACAGGCAGCCAGTAAAATGCCACGAGTTTGCAGCTCTCTCCAACGGGGAGCAATCTTAGAGGCAGGATGAGAGAGATCCCAGGGTCTTGTCCTGGCTCCCCTGAGTTAAGCTGGGCTCTCTCTGGCTCAAACCAACAGCGTGACTTTGTTCTGCAAGAGCCAGGGCTGCAGCAGGAGCAGGGACCCCTCCCCCTCCATTCCCCCTGTTCCTCTCTGAGCTGAGAGCTTGAGCAGCCTTAAAAAAAAACCCCATCACCTCAAAGAGCCCATGTGAAACGCTGGAGATGTATAAATAGCCAGGTAAATGCCAGGTTCATTAGGGGAAGGCAGAGCTCACGAGCAGTTTAAGTGCAAGGAGGCAATGAGTTGACACCCTGCGAGGCTGGCGCTGCAGGAGCCAGAGACACCAGTTTGGTTTGTGGAGTTGCCAACTAAATAAACCCAGATCTGGGTCTGTAACCCAGAGCCCCTGGTAGCTCAGGGGCTGGAGACGTGGGGAGAGCACGAACAGAGCACGGGGTGTCCCCCCTGAAACCATTTTCTGCTGGAGGGGAAATTGCTGCCAATTAAGCCTCCAGAGGAGGAGAGCTCATTTGAATGTCAGAGCTATTTACATCTCTGATAGAAGAACTTCAGTATGGAAATGAAGTAGGAAAGTCCTCACAGCTGTTTGCCACCAAGGCTGTCGCATCAAAATCAGGTTTAATAGACCCAGCTACCGTTGAGAATTACCCAGGGCCTAAAAATACACATTAGTGACACGCCCGTGACTGGGAGCTGTGCAAACATCAGGGAGCAGGTCCCTGCCCCGGGAGCAGGGCATCAGCTCACCAACGTGATGCATGTGTTCTAGAGACAAGGCCAAAAAGAGGAGAAAAGTCTCATTTTTACCACACAAGGCCTTGGAGAACTTTATTTGGAGGGGGCTGTGCTGAGCCGATGCACCGCTGCGATAATTCGTTTAGCACTGGAGAGATCTGAATTTTAATTTGCAGAATGAGGCTTATCTTGGCTGTGCAAGGAGGGGAGCACACGCCCCAGAACGGACAGACAACTTGTCACTTCCATTATTCCCTCCCCAGGAAAAAAAAAAAAAGGCAAAAAACCCAGTTGGGAGAAGTGAAGAATATAAAGAGAGCAGCAGCAGCCACACTCCGGGCACAGGGATGCTCAGAAGGACCCTGGAATCACCACACTGGGAGGAACTGGGTGGGAATGGCTCCTGGGGGGTTTGTTTCCCCAAGGATTTGGGGGATCCTGTTCTCTGCTCAGGCCCCACAACAGCCACAAGTGGAAGGATTTCTGTGGGCAGCAGGATCTGACCTGCCCCTTCCTCTCCTCTAAAGCCCCGTCCTGCCACAGGGAGGGGGCTCAGCCCCAGCTCTGGCTCCACTGGACCCCCCCCCAGGGCTCTCATGCCCCACTTGCAGCCAGTGCCCAGTGACCCACTTCTCTCCCTCACCAGCTGAGCAGTGCTGGGTCCCTGCCCATCCTGATGCACTGAATCAGCAGGACAAAAATCCCACGGGCAGGTTCAAAGCAAGAGCCAGAAAACGTTCTCTACACGCAGGTCTCTGTCCTCCTGCTCTGCTCCCATGGTGAGGACGTGGCCCTGACTGCAGAGACACTGCTAAAAATTGGACAAGGACCTTTGATGGCAGAAGTGGAGGGAAGCCAGGGCAGGAAGCCCAGAGCTGCTGGCTAAATGCCTCCCACCAACGTGGCCACCCCTGGGCACCCCTCTGCCCGCCTGCCCCGAGACCTCCCCGCACGCCGGGCTCAGCCAGCCCAGGGAGGTGGGTGCTGAGCAGGGAGGAGTCCCTGGGGCTGCAGCACAGCAGAGGGGGTGTTCAGGCAGGGTCCCCACTCGCTCTAACTAGGGCCAGAGCTGTTATCTCACCAGCACAGCCCCTCTCTGCTTCCTCCTCCTACAGCCACATCCCCATTTCTTCCTCTGGACTGACCATTTTCCGTTTGGTACAGAGGAAGGCATGGCACTCCAGGTTCTCATTGAGCTGGTTCTGGGCAATGTAGGCAAACACTTTATCGTGGATCTTGTCTGCTGTGCAGTAGGATATCCTGAAAGACAGAACGAAACGTCTTGTCTGGGGCACTGTGCACAAGGGAGACCACCCAAGCCCTCCTCTGAGCTGCCAGCAGGAGCCTGCCCGGGGCTCCCAGCTCGGGGCCAAGCAGGGAATGCTGAGGGAGGTGCCCAGGCTGCAGCACGGCTCCTTCCCAAAGCAGAGGAGCTGCTGCCACTAGTGCAGGAGAAGCCCAGAGCAAGTCCTGCAGCCAGGGTGTGAGCCAGGAGGAGAGAAGGTGCCTCACCTCGTGAGGAAGGGCAGGTTAGGAAGGCAAAGGCTCTGCAGTGTGCCAGCCCGGGACTGCCTGGCAAACTCTGCTTGCAGGGAGAGACTCAGAAGATGTTCCTTGGAGGATAAGCTTGCAAGGAGAGAGAAGGACTTGCTCTCAGCCTACAGTTTAATCTTGAGGCTCAAATCAGAGAAAGAAATGGATGCAGGGATGCCCAAGAAAAGCTGCTGGGAAGGTTGAAATTCAGGCTCCAAGAGCCGCAGTAGCAGATGCACAGGAGGCTCAGAGCCCCCCAAGCACGAGGGGAAGGAGGCTCAGCCCCTCAGCACAGCACCCCCAGCATGACCACGTCCCTCCCAGCCCCTGGGCAGGGCAGGGCTGACTCCAAAATGCCAAACAGGGCTCTGGAAGCACAACAGGCTGACATGTTAGGGGCAAGCAGGCTGTGCCTGAGGGCTCAGCTCCCTTCTGCAGGGCAGCAGGTCCCTCTGCACCAGCCACATCTCCCCCAGGGCACACCACAGACCAAACAGATGTCAGGAGAGGGAAAAGCCAAGGACAAAGTGAGACACTTTGGTGAAAGTTTTCCCATGGCTTCATCACTGCCCCTCCAGCTCACACTGCCCCCAGGAGTTTGTGAAGGTCCCAGTCCCCAGCAGATGCTGGGACTTAAAAGCCACATTCAGAATTTACACTGCATTAGTTTCTTGTTGCATCTGAAGACACCTCCACTCAATGGCCTGGATTTTGTTTTCCAGAACTGAGCTGTGACCTGGGTTAAAAAGGCACTTGGAAGTTCACTCTTTTCTCCCAGTTTTCCCCAAACAGTGTGGCCACTCTTTTAATCATCGAGGTGATTACTGAGTGAGGCTGTGGGAGGTTGTCTGTGCAGGCACGTGGCCCCTCCAGCCACCCCCAGTGCTCAGCCTGGTATTTGATGGCTATTGATCTCCAGGGAGAGGACAACCCTCCCCTCCTCTGAAGGGGGCCAGTTCTACCACTGAGGCCTCTGGCAGTGACAGGTCTGGTGACAGTGGCTGTGATTTAGCCATGGCCACCCCATCCTGCCCCAGCACGTGACCTGGGGCAGAGCTCAGAGCTGGCATCACCCCAGGGAGAGCAGAGGGGTCAGAGGAGAGCTGTGGGACTGCCACTGGTGCAGGACACTGCAGAGAGTGGGGAGATGACCCCCCCAGCACTCAGACCCCAGCTTCCACTGCTCCCACAGCACCGTGGCTCTGGGGAGCAGCATCAGTCCCCACAACAACAGCCTATTTGGGATGTGCTGACTTCAGGCAGCTGACCTGAGGGGACACTCAGACAGAGCACTGCCCAGAACAGCTTCACTGATGGCTGCTAAAGTGCCTGGGGAGAGCTTAAGGCAGCAGCTAAAACCCCCAGCGTGGCTCTGCCTGCTTCACACCAGCCATCCCAACCCTGGCACAGCCACTGGGCCCAGCTCTGCTCTTCAGCAGCAGGTCTATCTCCTGGGCAGGGCTGGGGCTCAGCACTGCTTAGTTTGAAGAGGAGAAAAGCAAGCAGAAAAGTAGCCTGGTTAGTGCCCCAGCCCAGCACTCCCCACCCCACCCTCAGCAACGGGACAGAGCAGCAGGTGAAGGACAGGAGGAGAGGGTGGGGGATGCAGAGGGAGGAAGGATGGAGGAGATGGAGAGGGTGAGGTCTGAGCTGAGCTCTGCTGCACCAGGCCTGTGCCTGCCTCCAGCCTCTTTGGAAGAAATACCTCCCAAACACAGAGGGCTGGATATGGGACAGTCCCTCCCAGGCTGGTACTGGCTCTCCACAGCTGGCCCAGCCCTGCTCTCTCTCTGTCAGGGCTATTTAAACGTGCTGGAGGTGCAGAGCAGCAGTGAGGGGAGGGCAGCCCTGGCTCCAGTGCTCGTGTCCTCACCTGCTCAGAGATGCTCTGACCACCCTCTGACCTCAGCTCTTGCCACCACCCCATTGCTTTGGTGGTTCTAGTGCCAAACATGGGTGGTAAAGCCACGTGTGGCCGTGGATCTGCAGTCTGCACACACAACACCTCCAGGCTTGTCACATCTTCCCCCAGCCCTGGTTGGATGCTTACTGTAAACGTGCCTTAAATTTAGCAACCATCCCTCACTCCTCCACCTCTGCTTTCCATCCAGAGGTGACAGCCAGGGAGGTGTCAGCTCAGAACAGGTGGAGGCTGGAGCAGATGAGGAGCCCTGGGGCACAGACCCCCTGCAGCACCCCAGAGCTCACCTGTATATGGAGATGTTCTCGATCAGCTCGTTCGTCCCGCTGTCATTTAACACGATCCCTCTGGGTGAGACCTTCAGAGTCACTTTCTGCAGTTTCTTTCCACTTGCTTTTGCCTTTGGAAGGAAAAGAGGGAGAGGAAAGTTAACAGGCTTTTAACACAGATGCAGCCAAAGGTACACAGGCAGAACAGAGGCTCTAGGTACTCGCTCCCTAACGGGTGTATTAATAGCAGTCGTTGCTACTAGAGACTGAATTTACTACCTGGTGTGATAAGGCACTTGTTAAAACTTTTCCTTCCCTGAAGCAGTAATTTTTGCTGGCATTAATGAGCCAAGGACAGGCACCATCCACCCCACACTGTACACAGGTACTTCCAGCCCAGCTCCTCCAGAATTCCCACGAGGAGCAGTGGCTGCTCTGACCGAGCCGTGGGCCCTTGGTGAAACCCTTGAGGCTCTGTCGTTGGGGCCAGCTCCAGAGCAGAGGGACACCCCAGCATGGACGAGGGAGCAGGATGGTCCTGCAGGACGTGGCTCTCAAGCAGCTGGCTTCAAGCTGTGCTCAAACCTCACTCCAGTGGCAAAGCCAAGGTTGGGACGCTGGCTTAAAAAGTAACTAGACTTTGTCGTGCCACTTTCTCCTGTTTGTAGTCTTGTGCTTTCAGCCTTCAGGTTACATTCAACTCACTGCCCAGCTTCTCCCCAAAAAATGATATAATCATTTTGGTTGGAAGTGCCCCTTCAGATCCCCAAGTCCAACTGTGCTCCCAGCACTGCCAGGTCCCCACTGCCCCGTGTCCCTCACCCCACATCTCCACAGCTTGGAAACCCCTCCAGGGGTGGGGACTCCACCACTGCCCTGGGCAGCCTGGCACAGCCCTGGCCAACCCTCAAGGGGAAGAAATTGTTCCTCAGCTCCAACCTCAACCTCTCCTGGTGCAACTTGAGGCCCTTTCCTCTTGTCCTGTTGCTTGTTCCTTGGGAGCAGAGCCCGACCCCCCCCTGGCTCCAGGCTCCTGTCAGGAGCTGTGCAGAGCCAGAAGGTCTCCCCTGAGCCTCCTTTGCTCCAGGCTCAGCACCCCCAGCTCCCTCAGCTGCTCCTCCCCACACTTGGGCTCTAGACCCTTCCTCAGCTTTGTTGCCCTTCTCTGGCCGTGCTCCAGCCCCTCAATGTCCCTGGAATGAATGACTCAAAACAGAAGCCACAGTTCAAGGTGTGGCCTCCCCAGCAATAACACACAGCTAGCTAGTTACACCCTGCAGACCTGGATCCTCAGCCCTGCTCTCTGGGACCTCACTTGAGCCATGCCCAGGCTGGTGGCAGTTCCTGCCCCTCCAAGGCTGACCTCAGCCCCGAGGCTTTTATTTAAAGGCTCCGTTCTCAGAGCAGACACGAAGGGTTCTGCCAGCAGCTCCCATTTCATGCAGCATTCCCCTCCTGCCCAGCTCAGCACATGCCAGGGAAGGATCTGTCCTTGCCTGGTGCCACCCCATTGAGTTTTATGGCAGTTAACTGTACAACTGGGTCTCTGTCTCATTCAGTTTTATAAGGGCTTAAAGAAGCATCTGTGTTACTTGGAGCCCGGTGAGCAGGGGCTCCAGGGAGCCCTGGTGCTGCAGGATGACTGAAAATTGCTCCCTCTTGCATCAGAGGTTACAGTGGGAGGGTGAGTGTATTGCCTGGGAATTGGAGCACACTGTCCTGCCCCCTCCTCCTCAGAACCCTCCAGATCCCAGGAAGGGAAGCCCAGAAAACTGCTCTCAGCCACGTGCGCTCCCAACGCTGCCCCTGCCCTGCAGAAGGAACGATGACCCTGGGGAAAGCTGATTCCAGCAGGTCAGAGGCTTCTCCCACACCCAGGGTCACCCACGCTTATCAAGGGGAACCAGAGCTCTGAGACACAACACCAGTTTTCCCCAGCCTGCCCCATCTGCTGGGGCTGGCCCCAAGGGCTTCCCAGTGCTGCTGCCTGCGCGTCCACCTCCAGCACCAGATGCCTGCTCACCCCTGGAGGAGCAGCACCTGCAGCCCTGACACCCCCAGCCTGCAGGTGGACAACACTGTGGCCTTGGAAGCCCTGCCCAGTGCCAGACTGGTGTGAGCAGCAGCACTGGGGGCCCTGCTCCAGCAGGGACACTCACGGTGGCGACGATCCTTTTGACAGCAGCTGCAGAGAGCTCCTCTCCCTTGGGCTGCTCCACCAGTGTCATGCCCATGTACTTGAGGCTGAAGAGCATCCCCTCCAGCAGCGTCTCACGGGTATCCGTCCAGTTCTCCGGGAGCTCTAGAGACAACACAGAAGCTCTTTCATTCCCAAACACACAAGGATACCCCCAACAAGCCCCCAGGGAGGGTTCAGGTGTGAGCAGGGTGTTGGCTTGGCTGCTGCCTGGGCTCTCGTGCCTGAACAACTGCTGCTACAAAGGCACTGGGGAAGGAGATGGACACAGCAACCACGGGAGATGTCACCAGCAGCCTCTGTAGCTCTTCAAGGCAGCAAAACCAAACTCCCATAACTTTTTCCACAAGCCACAGCAAATATCAGCAGCCCTTTAAGATCCATCAGTTCCTTGGTTTAACTGTGCCTGTCCAGCTCCACACCACAGCCAAAGTTACCCTGAGCATCAGCCCCAGGAGGGCCTGGTGCCACCACACACAGGGCAATAACCTTTCCCTGCACTAACCATCACCCATCCGCAGAGGCTAAGATGGGATTTGCTGCTAGCTAAGCCCACACACAGCTCCAGAGATCCAGGTGATGGGCTAAATCCATCACCAACAGCCCTGAGGAGCCCATGGTGCAGGTCTTCACCCTCTCCTCAGTGAGGACGGGTCTCTGCTCTCCCCTGGAAATCTCCAAGGAGGTCACCGGCCCCTACCCTTACTTGCTGGGGGTGTGGGAAGGAAGGTCCTAAATTCAGAGATCAGTTTTGGACCAAACTGAAGAGTCAGGTGGGTATTTCTAAGCCTGAAGCTGTACCACAGGAGCCAATTTCCACACATGGAACTATCATGCCAGGATCTGCAGGTCTTATGTTTAAGAAGGGTCTTGTTTTGAGCAGAAGGCAACAAACCACAGCCCTGGGGAACGACAGAGCTCCCAGAGAGGAGACTCCACTTGCTGCAGACAAAACACACCCCTGAAGCCGACGCTGCCTCGTCCCCGGCATCCCTGG